AAATTATTTTATTATCAAATAGTTATGGTCTGTTTTTTTCGATGCATGATATAATAAACGTCATATTCAAAATTAAATGTAATGTTAACTTCCATTTCTTGATATTCTGATTCTAAATAGTATTTGGCACATTTGTTTAAGAAACATCAAATGACTGTTGGAATGCACTTTTGTACTATAACTAAATTCCGTACTTTATTTCTTGATAGATTTCATGGAGGTTACCACAAAATCCAAGGCGGCTACTGCGATGAGGCGTTCCTATGTCTAACGGGTTATATCTGCCACCAATTGTTCTTCGAACCCTCAATGAGTGAAAAGGAATTGTTTGGCATATTTACGAGGGAGGTGCAAAACAATTCTCTAATCGCAGTTGGTGCTCCGGTGAGTAACATACTAAGTAGACACTTTTCAATCAAAAATTTGGTGTGTTTTCATCTATCAATTTTTCAAAATGAAGACCTGCAGGAGGCAAAATTTTAAACATGAGGTGGATTAAGAAAAATCGGAAACAGTTGTTTTCAACGAAACGTCGAAATGAAATAAAATAAAAATGTATATAATACAGAAATATTTTAGGTCCTAGTACTAGTTCCCTAATATTAGGTGGGCCTAGCTTTTAGGTTTTACCTAATCCTCTCTCTAACTGATACGTATCATCATCTAAAATAAAATTTTGCACATTTTCGGAATTTTGCAATCCTCTATTTGTAGATTACAAAGATCAGATTAAAAATATTACAGTGTATTAAAAACCTTGTTCTTTAAGCACATTTTGATTGAATATTTTGAAGCAATCCTAAAAATACGCATTTACGAGCTAATTTTTGACAAGAAACCTTTTTAGTGTGCAAGAAACTTCACAAGTATTCATTTTAATATCATGTACTCACAAATACACTAATATAAAAACGTAATGTAAATATGTTTTAAAGAACGATAAAGTGTGCTATTTTGTATTACCTCCAAGGTTTTGAAAACTTTCGGATTCATTGACCACAAAGATTTATATTTAAAACTATTTTTATTTGCGATTGATGATTTTCACCTAGGTTGGATACTCTCGTACATTAGACGTCGATGATTAAGAAATAACGAATTCAAACTAAAGAACATTGCTAATATATCAGTCCTTTAAATTCTTTGCCGAATGCCCGTCGAGTCCCGCAAGGTTCAATTTTAAGCTCCATCCTCTGTCTTCCTGCAAAAACAACATGGTCTCTTTCAGTAGATACGGAAAAACAGTTCTTTCGGCTGATCACAAGAATATTCTTTGTCACAAAGACGTAAGTAGTATTGTGTAACATCACAATTTTCAATTTGTTTCGCAATAAATTAATAGTAAAGGAAGAGAAAGTATTTTAACGTACTTTTTTGCACCTCAACAAAGAAACGTCAGGCCTCATCGAAGATGACCAAAAGTTTGATAGTAAGGACACTTAGTAGGTTCCTTAACTCACTCACACCTCATATATATATCAAAATATTCACGTCAAATGCAACGGGCAACACACAATCCCATTGTGAAAGTATATATATAGTTAAATAACACTGAAATTTAAGATTCGCTCTCGCAGCAAAAACTGGAGTTTCTTGTTATCGATGATTGTTTTTATGCGTGTAATGCAACCAATCATTTAACGTTTTGCCGTGATCTACAAGTGCTGTGTATATAATTATAAAGGGAACTACGATGAAAATTGACCACATGTTCTCAAGTTTCAGTTTCACAATACCCATAAAAAATGTATATCTGCCTTTATTGGCAGGATTCCCACGCAATAAACGAATCTAAGTATTGGTGTTCTTGTTTCTGTGACAAGTTCATGGCATAACCTACATTACTCATGCACTTGGTAAGGTGCCACACTATACATATCTACTGAACACTGAACGTTCATATTATTCTTATTCAAAATATTTTGTCTGTTTTTATCGCTCACGTTTAAAATTTAAAGCACTGCAAATTTACGTCAATACACGTTTATGGGCAACACTGCTGAAAAAAAGAGGAATTATTTTTCTGAAAACATTAATTAAAAATGATATTTAATTGAAGTGTAGACGAACATTTGTTTACAATATTAATTATTTTTTGGTGTGGTTAATTTTAAACACCTAACAAGTTATTTTAGAGAAACTAGCGTACCCGTGCGAGAACTCTCGGATGTTAAACCCCACCCTTTTTCCTGTTCTTCCATTTTCATATGAAGGGTGAAACGTGTTTTTTGTTTGTTTAAAAAGTATATTGGCAACTTCCAACATCCTTATACAATATTAAACAAAAACAATTAAATATACGTTTGCGACAAAATTTCAGTAAAGTTCTCAGAACAATTACAGTTTGAAATTAAGTCAAATAGCTTGAAATAATGAACAACAAATATCAAAAAGCGCTAGCATTCAATACTACATCAATTAATTTAAAATAAGTAACTAAATTTACAATTATTTACATAATAGCGCACGTCACTCGAAAACTGCGAACGATCACAATCCAGATGCACCATTGTTGGCGATATCCTGAAGTCTGTACATCAATTCTCAGCTGTAAACTCATTTTGTAAATTATACACCATTTGATATTAAATTTAAGGAGGTGGTGTGCTAATATAAGTAAGATGTAAACATTGCTTGAGAAACATTCTCATGTACGTAAGTGAAGTCAAAGCCTACTGAATTGTTTCCATAGTTAACAAATGGTGTTTATTACGCGCAAGGAAAAATGTTAGCTTTATTCTATT